CCTTCCAAATTGTTAACGTCACGTTTCCTTTTCCTTCTAATAAAAACCCTTCTTCTCCAAGGGCTCAACCATATGTCCAGCTTTAATCCCTTGCTCTATCCTTTCGGCTATGCATACCGCATCATAGAAATGTTGAGATGAGCTACCTATTAGGTGCTTATAATAAAGTGCCTTGAAGGTATTGGCAAACAAGGTCACCATTTCAATTTCTATTAAAGGGGGTTGGACATGTGTTGCCTCATCCCTCCATCTTTGTGCATAGGCCCTTACCAACTCTTGGCTTCTCTTCTCTATTAACATTAGATTTGTTCGATCTGAAGCGATTTCTAGGTTAAACTTGTACTGTTTAAGGAAAGTCTCCACCAAATCTCTCTAGCTCCTGATACTGATGCTATCTAACCTCATATACCAGCTCAAAGCAGATCCTGCTAGGCTATCTTGAAAGAAATAGATTAGCAATTTATCATCATGAATTACTTCCACTATTTTGTTGTAGTAGGATCGAAGGTGAGTGTTTGGGCATTCTAAACCAGTGTACTTAATGAACTCTAGTATCTTAAAATCTTTTGGCACCATAATGTTTGGAACCAAACATACTTCCGTGGCTCGCATAGGGTCAAACCAGTCATTACCCTCAGCTACCCTTAATTTTCTTCCAAATCAAACAGCTTGTCTTAGTCCATCAAACTAGGAGACCTATTGTTGGGGACTCCCTTCGCTGTTAAGTCCACAGTAATTGGAGCATGAGTTGGCTGGACAAGGGTGATAGGCATAAAATGTTGTTCATTGGCCGAGTTTGCCCCCTGGTTTTGAGATGCTTGAGGGATGTGAGTTGCTGGCGCTCCTTTAGGCTGTTATGTTGATGTTCCCTCCCTATTCTTAACTCTTAGAAGTTGCTCGAGTAGATCAGTCAACTAGATAACTTCATTTTTTATGAATTCCAACTCGGTCTGATAATGTGACTCTAAATGAGCTCTTTCTTCGTTGTCCATCCTTAATCTGGACCGGTTGTAGTAGACTTTGGATGTGAGACCATGTTTCTTAACTCTTCTTCATTATAAGTCCTTTTCATTTTTGGTTGCTCTATTATTGATTCTGGATGTTTTGGTATTGCGAAACCTCTCACTTCAGAAAGCTCATTATTCCTCCAAACCATATAATTCTAGCTGAATGATGTTTCAAAACTGCTTTGTTCTTTCCTTTTTACCATCAGAGGTCTTTCCTAGTCTTGTCGGATAAGTTCCATCTTTTCAAGGAAAGGTTGGTGTTTGAACAAACTTATGAAGTCGGCTAAACCTAGAGTTCTTGGTGTGTAATACATTCCATCCAACTGCCTTGTTACAAATGCGAGTGCATAATTGATGTATCTAGTTACACTAGTCAAGGGAACCTAGATCTTGCTTCCACAACTCATTGTGCAGATGACGTTGTTCATCCATGGTCCTTTCCATTTGAAGTTACTCCTTGGCAATGTTGTATATTTATCTATCCATGTCGTTGTTCATCCAAGGTCCTTTCCATTTGAAGTTACTCCTTGGCAATGTTGTATATTTATCCATCCATTCTTTCTCATCCTAGTTCTTCCAAGTTTCATCTATGGTAACTTTTAATAGTCACAAATCAAACCACTAGAAGTTGTTAAAAATGTCCCTTAGTGTTTCGATATGACTAATAATCTATAAATACAACATAAGAATGCAACATCTCATGGATCCTTTTCCATGTGTTATGCAGGGGTTGAGTGATAACATGGTTTCTCCCAAAATGGATGAAAAGGGATTGATTCGGTTATGCTCGTATTCTATGAAGACATTTACTGCTTCTAAACTAATGACTCTGATTTTAGATGGGAACAATATTAGTCCAAAGATGGCAATGGCCACCAACCTATATCATTCATCTCCTAACTTGCCTTCTTCAACATTTTTCTTCATTCGGGCTTTAATCCCATTCAGCGACTCTACATTGGCTAATCTTTCTTAGGCCTAATAAACTGACTACCTCCCAAGTTGGGTCTTTAATTTTTCACCTGAGGTAGATCTTGTGGCTGTTGTTTGGAAAATCTAGAATTATGTTGTTTTCCTCCGAGGTCGGTGTCATCAATGTTCCCGAAGGTAAAACACCGATAACTAGGATCCTAAAAATTAAGTAAGGCTTTGATTGTTGCTACTTTTACGGGTAACCTCATTAGTTGTGCAATTCTCCTATATTGCCTTTCAAAAAGAGTCTCATCAATATATTCATAACAAACAATAACTTTCCTAAGTCATTTACCATGTGATTTATATTGGTAATGCGAGGCAACCCACTAGCATCGATTCTTGCGCATTTTCCTTCAGCCACCTAGGTCAACTCAAATTCTTGCCCAAACTCTTGGAAAGATAGGTACTTAGCCATGATTTTAACTTAGAATCAAGACTGATAAATTTAACATTATTAATCATGATGCAAAAGAAAGTAAGATACATATCCTAAAGATAAGCTCTATTAAGTGAGACTGGGGAGGTTTTCTATCTGGTCTTAAAGAGTCTCATATATGCCTAGTGACGTTCTTCATAAAGACAGTATGGGGGCGTTGTAAGGAACAGTTAAGACACGTATGCCCACTAATACCAAGCAGGCACTCAAATATGAGTTGGGTGTTTCACGCATCTTAACCCTGACTAATAGTCATAGGGCAAATCGCTAATCCCCCACCTAACTTAAAGCTTATGTGTACTTCTCAAAATCAAAATATATGATGCATGAGACAGTTTTATACAATGCATGAACAATATGTGTAAAAAATTTAAAGCGTATAAACAGATAATAAAAAAGCAGGCATATTAACAATAAACACAAAAAAACAAATCAGACACAAACAAAGCTTAGTCCACAAGGCCCCCAGTGGAGTCGTTATTCTGTCGCACGTGTGCGGCGTTGCGGCGAGTTTTCCACTTTTATCTAGAAATGATGTATGTATAATATCTATTTGGCAAATATAGGGGGATAAGAAAATATTGTCTTTTGTTGTTGGAAAATGGATTGGGAGTCGCCACTTAGTATTTTGGTCACTAGGAACCCTAACTGGTTTAAGAGATTGGGTACGGGGACTGGTTGCGTAAAGGGAAGGTATTAGC